GCAAAGCCATAATAACGGCTCTTAAATATATTCAAAGACATCCTAAACATAAACAATACATCATATTTTCAGATTCTCTTTCTTGCCTTCAGGCTATTAAAAATCCTACTTGTAAGCATCCACTTTTACTAGAAATATATTGAATTGTATACTGAGCTTGCTACTGGCCAATGCGACATCATGTTTTGTTGGTTACCCAGCCACGTTGGCATTTCTGGGAATACAATGGCCGATACACTCACTCACTATTAGCAATATCAGATTTTTCTGTAAAAAGAGTGTCACATTCATTAAGATGCTGCACACTACATTTTGAACCTTTACCTTTTATCTTCTTCACCATTTTCCATACCTTATTCGTGAGTTAATTTTGGAAACATAGTTCGCCATGACTGTCGTTTATTTTGTTTAAATGTGCGACGAGCCTTGGCGTTTTATTTGTAAATTGGTTTAAGTTAGGGACTGTGGGATGTCGACGGAAACATTTTTCTGCGTTCTTCCTAGCCTTTCCTTCTTGTTTGAAATCAATAGTAAACCATGACTTACGAATGTATGGAGCCATTGAGGACTTTGGTATACAATCATCAGCAATCATATTTAATTCATCAGAAAACATCTGAATAGAATTTAGAACGAATTCGGGTTGTAATCTGTTAGTGCATAAGGTCTCGAATGCTGGGGTTTATGGCTGAAAGTATAGTGGGAATATGGTCACTTCCACAAAGATCACTGTGGACTGATCACTCAAATCCTTTGTATATACTGGGATGCACAACGGATAAATCTAGAGAGGAGTATGAATCAGTTGCAGGATGAAGATATGTGTTAGAACTATCATTGAAATCAGTATTCATGAAGAAATCCTCAAGAATCTTTCCTTTTGCGTTAGTGTTATTACTACCCCAAAGCGGGTTATGGTCATTTAAATTTCCCATGATAATACATGGTTTTGGGAGTCGTAAAGCATCTGAAGATCAGATTGCTGCAGAGACGATAATGGCTGAAGATACAATGAACACATGGTAACAACAATATGCAGAGTAACACAGACCGCAACTGCCTGAAGAGGGGTATTGAGAGGAACAGGACTGTGGATAGTTCTGTCCAAGAGCGTTCGTTGAGGTACTCTCGGATGGTAGTTCAAGAGGCGGAAGACAAAAGTCAGCAGTATAGTTGAAAACAGCAGCAGCCATGTTTATTATGGTTGGGGAATAATGGTAGAAATGGTACATAAGATGGAAATCACGTGACAGAACGCACATCGAAACCGAGTGGCCAATGTTACCGATGTGGAGACCCGCTCTGTCACTTACACACATTCAGAAGTCGGACGGCGATTCTTCATCGTCGACGTAGTCGTTGGTGAGGCGACGGCCTTGGCCGACGCCCCGACTAGCCGCCCAGTCCGTCCGCTTCGGTGGATGATCTGGGCCTGTTTCCTCGCCTCGTTTCTGACTGGACTCCCTGCTTGGTCTCCATGACTGACCATGTGAGTCCTGTTTTATGCATAGGGACTTTACGCCACGTTGTGCAAGGTCACTAACCTGTGCACATGTACATACGTAAGATCCGCCGACGTGGGGAGATGTTAATTGACATTTACTGATGGCATTGAGAATTAAGGGTCCTGCCCTGAGGGGGGTTTATGATAAAAGGGCTACACCGAATGATTGCTGAATACATTAAACAGACAAAGGGGATAGAATTTCGGTGCACTTTGGATATATATGGAAACAATTATGTTGTTTGAACATATGACGTTTTACAGAAACGTATTGAAATGGTTTACTCTATGACAGAACCATGATTCACCTGGAGGTGAGAAACAGTTGTAGAAACCATATTTTCTGATAGATATCAAATCTGTCCGTGGATTTTAGATATGTTTCTTACAGACATAATTCTAATGGTTTGAAATCTTGAATTAAAAGTTGTAAATCATTGATATTGTTTCTAAGGCCTCTACAGTTCCACTGAAGAATATTGAAAGAACCGTTCATGGAGGCGGAATTGGAGATCGTGATCTTGGGAAAGATCCTCTCCGTTGAGTTGGTGGAGATGGGTTGACTTCCATGTCTGAAGGTTCAAAGTTGTTATGAACCACTACAGGGGATGTTAATGGGGAAGGTACCTCTACATGGTTGAGGGTCCTTGATTCTTCTTTGCTTGTGAGTTTTACAGGGTTTTTTGTGATATCTTTGCTGTCTCAGTTTCAGATTCATGCTCTTGTTCATGAGCAGTCTGGCGTTCATTATGAATCTGTCTGTGATGCAGACGTTGAAGATCTGTTGCCGTGTTTAGCAATAGAAAACAGTGATTGTTTGACTCTGACCCAGCAGATGTCAGTCTGACATGCTCTGTCAACAATGCACTTTGAAAATGAAATTGCAGCAGAGTACAAGGTTGTGGATGGAGTAGTATGAGTTTGTGGAGTCAGTAATTTCATTGCTTCAGAAAAGAAAATATTATTTGTATGCTTTAGTTTGAGTATTTGTGATTGTTTCTGGTAGAATGGACAGGATTTTGATGACGAGAAGTGCTCACCGTTGCAGTTAGCACACCTAATATCTGTGCAGGCAGTACTTTCATGATCTTTACTGCAAGGGAAGCACTTAGGGTACTGATAACACGACCTAGGACAATGCCCAAGCTTCTGCCATCATTACATTGGAGTGGACTTGGCATATGTACATCCACTCCGATGTTGAAATGACCAGCCTTGATTGATGATGGTATTTTGGGAAGTGTAAACGTAAGATAAATGGTCGTTGGTACAACTGTGTGTTGATCTTTTCTGGTGAATCTTTTCACAGAAGCGACTCCTTGAGATTTGAGGTCTGAAGCTATCTCGTCCTCGGACATGTCAGAAACGATCACGGATGATACCCCTATACGCATTTAGATATTTGTGAACAGAGACTGTGGTTTCAGTGGTCCCAAAATTATCTGCTTTGAGAAGACTGTTGACGTCGTTCAACATTCGACAAGCAGGGATCCATTTCTGAGACACGTTACAGTCTTGACGTATCCATAAATCCCTTCCACACCCTTGGTCATGAGTAGATATTAATTTGAGAGACACTTTCATCGCCAGAACAAATGGTATCTGTATCTAAATGCCTTCTTTTATTTTTCGATCGAGAACCAGTGTAGAGAAAGGTTGCTATGATAGGGAAAATCGTTCAACATCGCTGCTCTCCACCCACCATGGGGTGTCAACAAGAACAATGCTATAGTGAAAGCCGACTACAAACACTAGGGTTACAGGGATGCTATACTCCAGCAAAAGAGTCACAGGTAGCTACCATAGTCAAGCAGAGTAATTTAAGTAAGGCTGGTTCTGCCCTAGACATTTACCTGAAGACAAAGAGAACCCGGTGGTCAATAATGCCAGATTGACCCATGAGCCACCGCCTTCTGGTATAGGACACTAAGCAGAATGAATTCTAATATGATAGTTTTTATAAGAACCGGTCATGGTAAGAAACAATTTGAATAGCAATGGTTTTAAAATGAAATGTCTCCATGCTCGGGGCACGGCGTGACCAGCCGATTCATAGAATCGTGCCAATTCTACCACCCGTCTAGCAGCAATCGAAATACCTGCCTGCACGACCGCCCGGAACGGGTTATTCTTAACAGAGACTGCCAGATTCTCAAATTCACCTGCCTAACGGTCAGGTTAAAACTTAGGCATGTAAATATATATTGTGTGAGCCCTGTGGTCTGGCTGAAATTTTTGGGAGTTTCATACCCTGCGTCTTGGTGAAGTAAGGGCCAAAGTGGTGTGCAAAAGGAACACTGTTCCAGGCTCGTACTGCCCTCAACCACCAGACTACCGTCCTCCATCGACACAGGGGCACAACCCACGGCAAATTTGGTCACCTCTTACGACCAGCAATGGGGTGCTGTGGACAGTGGTTAGAGTTACCCATCACCCACCACGAGGTGGTGGCTCTTCACGGGTGCCTCATCTTACGTTACATCAAGAGCAACAACACATCCTCGATCTATTTTTGGTGACTATGTTGTTATTACAACGACTGTGTTATTTTATACTGCAGTTGCAATTGTTCAGCTACGGAATGTAGAACATTGCATTGGGTGCTCTCATTAGTTTTCAGTAATGAATATTTTTATGTAAATCGCATTTGTAATTTGTACAGCATTCTTGTTTGTTGAGTCCACATTGAAGATAATGGCACCTTTATTAAAGAAGTTGGATACCGTGGTTTGTGCGCATACCGGATGCGACGGGATGTGACAGTAGGAGCGTGTATTTATGTTGCGCAGCTTTTCCCTTTAACTCGCTTCTAGTCATACTTCATGATATTTTGGCCACACAAGCATTTATCCTGAGGTAAACCTGGGCAAGAGTTATCTCCCCTTATCAAACTGAATTTGGGCAGGCTGTTTTAATTTGAGATAATGTTGATGATACTCTCTGGTAACATATTCTTTTTCTATAATTGAATATTTATCTAGTGTAAATTTATTATATTAAAATTCGTTTTATAAAAAAAATCTTGTTATAATGAAAATCTTTTTATCATTGATGAATCAATATTTCTTTTAAATTCCCGTGTGTTTAGAAGTTAATTAATTTTTCAAATCCTACATACCGACTTGAAAATAGATTTTCCTGCATTATTTCATATCAATATCTTTATAAAAAAAACACATATTAAATAATAAAAGTAAACAAATTACTTTTAAGAGAACTTTTATTGACATATTAATTTTTACAGACGATGCAACAAGGGGGCGCCACTTGTTAAACAAATGCCTCGGTGACTTGCTTTTTTATGGCATAATTAGATTTTTGACACATTTTTCTACAAAATGATACCAAATTTAGCAATTTCTTGACATTTTGATACTTAGTATGCAACCTCCCTAACCTTTTGTATGTTTTAGAAAATTTAGAGTGTCCATATAGATCAACTTTGAATCCCGGTTAAAAAAAATCAAATTGTATTTAAACCTTTCGTTTGTTTCAGCATTGGGCATGATAACACAGGAATGAATGCTGCCTGGAAGTTACAGTGGGTAATGTTTGTATTGTATTCGCAGCTTCCCTGGGTGTTTTCATTCAGACAAGCCGGTTTGTATCCACACTATTAGTCTGTTTGCAGTGAAAACGTACCGATGAATTTCAGTTTAAACAAAAAATTAAAGTTAAGATTGCGAATCGTCATAATTTTACCTTGCCAGTTGAACATGTAAATCTCAGAATTTTATTTAACTTAGGATAAAAGTTGTTTAACAAACGATCATGGTTTCAAATCTCTATTATTGGTTTGTATTACAAGGGGGTATGCACATTTAATGAAACACCGAGAACAAGTAGGGTTGGTCTAAGTTAACGCTCATCACGTACCGCACGTGCATTTGTTTCACTGTTCCAACTACTGCGCTTTCCACCATGTAATACAAACCAATATTAGCGATTTGAATCTATGATCGTTTGTTTGACAACTTTGATCCCAAGTTGAATTAAATTCTGAGATTTAAATGTTCAACTGGCACGGTAAAATTAAGAGAATTTAAATCTTAACTTTACTTTATCGGTACGTTTTCACTGCAAACAGACAAGAGCTTTTGCAGAATCACCGACTAGTGAACAGATGGAGTGAATAATTGATCTGTCACAGGGGACATCACTACTGGCAAACACGGATAACTTTAGTGCCGACCTGACAATTGACCTGTATTAGCACGCATGAGTGCCGCCCACTGGCACTTGCCATTGTGAGCGAAGGGGACCCAGGTTGTCCGCAATCAAGTGTAGTGCGATGGGTGCAGCGCATGGCCTGTCTCAGCAGCTACGCGCGGAATCAATTTCATCGTCATGTACTGCACGTGCACTAGCCTACACCTGCTCTCCCATTTACAAACCTGCTCTCCCATTTACAAACCAAATGCGTTTGCTCATTGCCGTGCACCGCCTACTTCTCGTAAACGCGTTTTTTTTTGCGCTGGTCCATCTTATCCTTGTTTGCCAGTAATTGTATAATTGTGTGTTGAAGCCTAGTAGTAACTCCAATGAGCCCAATTTGGACCCTCTTACTCTTCTCCGTAAGGGACACTCATCATTACTTGTACTTTGTATGTGTAGTCCTGTGCGTAGAGCTCAGGTCATAAATCAGTTGAAGTTAAGCAACGTTAGGCGCGGAGAGTCTTTGGATGTGTGACCGTGTTTGGCAACTTGACTCCTGAGAAATACTAGGACTTCAGTCCTGCCCCACAACGAAGCACATGCGATACATGTGGTCTCACCTTAATCAAGTGGGTTTGTTCAAAAATGACCCTTTTCACCCAGCAGAAAATGGGTACCCGGTGAAATAGTTCCTAAATCTATAAGCCTTCTAGCGCCGAACAGGCTGCTTGAGTTATCCGGGGTAATAATGATCAGATTGTGCGCTTTGAACAGGATATCTAACATGGAAAAGCCGCGTTATAAATATTCTTCTTATCATTATTACTATTAACCTAAGGCAAATGGATCTTCGTCAGATCTTCATCACTTCAAATCTCAAGCTTCCATCAAGTATTGATGTCTTTCCAGGAGTTACGAACTGTGTAACCTTCATTGCAGCTAACATGTAGAAATCTTCTGACTCTTCTGTTTAACAGGTGCGCATTTATGAAAGTTCTGAACCGGGAGTATCATATAAATTTGAATTTGACGACTGGGTGGTTGACAAGGCTGTAAAGCTCACGCACAGCACAGGTGAGCGCTTACTTATGACAACACCATTACGTTTGCACAGGTCATTATTTTAGCTCATAAAAATAAGGTTTAATGGGTGATCTTCTTCAACTAATATTTTCCTCACTTATCCGCTAGGTGCGTTTTACTATACACTCACAAACAGTTTACCAGTGCTGCCTTCACTTTTATTGGTAGCGTTCCAGTTGGTGTTAGTATATGTTTTCCCCTAAACGATTATATATCTGGTGTAATGTCCTGAAATACTTGTTCAGTGACTCCATAATATACTCACACGCAAAAGCAACGCAAGTCGAGTATAAAGTATACATGTATTATATTTTCAACATTCAATACAAGAAATACCAGTGTCAGATAGACAAAGATTTGAGTAAAGACATTTTATTGGCTGCAAAGTTTCAAACGGTAAAGGGGTTACACGGGTTCTGGTCAATAGCCAATATGTCAGTCAATACCTAGTGTGCACCATTAGCATTGATCACTGCCACACATCTCCTGTACATTGAGTGGATTAGACGAACACACCCAAAGCAGCTGTGAAAAGTACACCGGCAGCTGTAGGGACTGCTCGCACATGGTGCAGACGCCTGTTAAAAACATCCCAGTATACGGAGGTTTCGGATTACGTCCCTTTGGAAGTGCTCTCTTAAGAAAAGGCGAGAAAAGGTCGTTGCGTCACCGGAAGGTGGGGCTGTTTCAAGGCCGTCGCTAATGTAAACGTGCCGTCTCATCACTGTTGTGTTCCGGGTTGTACCGCATCGACGCGAAAGCAACAAAAACTTGACAAGTACCCATGGCTACAGGGGTGACCTTTTTCTCCTTCCCGAATAAGATCAGGGCATCAACTCATCGGAGAAGATGGATTAAACTCGTACGACGAGAGCCAGCATGGGCACCGAACAAGTACACTCGGATATGTTCAAGACAATTTTTGTCAGGTGGTGACTGTCCGACGCTGTTTCCATACAACAACTTTAAAATGCCCTCCACACTAAGGTAATGACCATTTACACATATACTATATTTCTCATTTATTTTTTAAGTCTTTGCAAACTTTATTTTGTTACAATTTAGTGTGTTTGGCCACGGATCTATAAATAGATTTCTGGTTTGTCATGGCGGGAGTACGAAAAGCCGACTGCACAGCAGTTTGAATATTTTTTTTATTTGAAAACTATTGTAAAAGTATTTAGCACATCTTGTGAATATAAATCTACAAATTATGAATACTAGAATCTAATTATTTTACATGTTTGTTCTATTTTGCAAATAAAAAATCATCTGTCTTTAAAACACTGCACCTGGAAATTAGCAATTGTATTATTTGTTTAGATCTACTCAAAACTCATATCACTTCACATGGCCTTGGATGAGAAGAAACCCACCAAAGATCTCTCAACTGGTATGCCTGATGTATCAGGAAGCACAGACTTTGCTTCCATACGCTTTTCAGTTGGAGAGATCACAGTCCTTCAACCAACAAGGAAAATAGGCTTTTCAAAAGGTTTGCTCGTACATAATACTTAGCTTTACATGACAAATTTAATTGAAAATGTCTCCTGAATAGTTTGTATAAAGAATGAATATTCTCTGTTGAATAATTGCTTAATTTTTAAAGAGCTAATAGATCTTGTAACTCAAGGTATTTTTTATGTATTTTCCTCCACGTGCAATAGAGTCAAAAACACCCATCGTCAGTGACGATCATGACTATGTCGTGAAGGACGCAGAGAAGAGCCAGATGTGTGAGGCTGGAACTCAGATATATCTGACAATGTCAGACATTCATAACATGAATGAGGACCTTCAAAGTAAAACTGAAAAACTAGATGACAAGAGAACTCTATTAAGGGACTTGTTTCTGGAAAATGTTGTTAAAGATGATGAACATGTAAGGTTTTATACAGGCTTACCATCTTGTACTGTTTTTAACATACTTGTTTCTAAATGTTCACTTTTGAACTATTGGAATGGCAATGCTGCTGCATGTGACACAACAAATAATTCAAGATCTCGTCCTGGCCCCAGTAGAAAGTTGACAATGTATCAAGAATTTATTCAGGATTTCTTCAGTATTTTGTAGCAGATACTTTTGGAATATCAAAGTCACGTGTTAGTCAGATATTTGCATCATGGATTACTTTTATGTCTCAAACCTTTGATAATGTATTGAAATGGCCATCAAAACTGCAGGTTAAGAAATATATGGCATTGTCTTTCAAGCAGTTATACCCTAGAACACGGGCCATAATTGACTGTACAGAGTTCTTTTTCTCAAAAACCTAGATCACCTTCAGCCCAAGCTACTACTTACAGTTCATACAAATCTAGATATACTGGTAAATGTTTACTTGCCATATCACCATCTTGTACTTTCACGTTTGTCTCTGACTTGTATGGTGGTAATGCTTCTGATAGATATATAACAGAGCATTCAGGGTTTTTAGACTTAATTGAAGCTGGAGTTGATATCATGGCAGACAGAGGTTTCTATATTCGTGATTTATTTACTAGAAAGCGAGCTACCCTAAATATGCCACCATTTACTCGAAAATGCACTTGGGGTAAGAAAAAGAGACTTAATGTGAGTGAAATAAAAAAGACAAGAAACATAGCTGAACTTAGAATTCATGTGGAGAGAGTTTTAAGTAACATAAGTCCTTGGGAAGTGAAACCACTTGTTAACAAAATGGTGAAAGTGTGTGCATTTTTTGGTAATCTCATGCCAAAACTAGTCAGGAAGTATTCAGTTTTAATACCTGTTGTAAAACAATTAATGTATAAATTCTGACTTGATATTTGTCTTGTATTCAATTCTGTTAAAACAATAACAAAGGTATGTTGTTTTTAATACATCATGGTTTATTGTTGATACTGTGCTGTACAAAAGTTGTCATGTAATCATTTGTACATAATTTTAGGCACATTCAATTATTCTATTTGCATCATACAGATCTGTACTACGATCAATCGGTACAAAACTCATCAAATCAATATCAATTTCACACAAGCTATGCAAGTAAAATATGACAAATAATAAAAGACGTTGTAATGCTAGGTAGGGAATTTGTTTCTAAATGTAACCTTGATGTGTTTCATTAAGCACCTCTTGGTATTTACAGGAAACTTGTTTCTTTGAAAGATTGCAAACTGTTTACATAACAATTATCCCCATTAAAATAACTTAACAGTACATTTGTTGTGTTTGTCAAATCATAATCATACTGATAAGTATATACAATAAATGTACAGTACATATAACCTTGAGTAAAGCTAATACATATTATTACTTTTTCATGTACATGCACTTGCTTTAGATATGGATGTACATTGTAATAGTAATAGGTACTGAAATCTCCAGCTCTGTTATGAATTTTAGCTGAACAAATGTACAGAAATAAATTTCAATTTACGTTCCATAATGTCTTGTTTCTCAATTGACATACTATTATGTATGCCAGTAAGTATTACACTTAATACGAGTGAGTATTTGGCGAGACTCTGAGTTTGTTATGTTTATCGACTTGTGGTACTGAAAGCCATTAGAAACGCATCACCCATTCTGATGATATCAGTTGTACTGACGTGAATGGTTCGAACCCAAACTGTTGTATGAATCAACTAACCATGTCACCTGAAAAGCATGCAAAGGGAGAGCAGCATGCATGTAGGTGCGGTCACGTGACACATGATGATCACATAACCACGACTTGTCATGTAGAGCATGGACAGATGACACAACTGATCTGAAATTCAAGCAGGGTTAAAGTTTAACAATTTTCCTGTAAGAATCACATGGTTTTGGGTCTTTAATTCCATTGCTGAATTTGTAACGATGCCTCGATTATCGGCTGTTCAGAGAGAGCGAGCAGTGGGTTTGCTTAATGCTGGATTATCCTCCCGTGCAGACCCGCACAGTTCAACTGTCACATGTCGACAATTGTTAGACTCTCCCAGCGTCTTCAACAAACAGGCAGCACACTTGACCTTCAACGTCCGGGACAACCACGCGTCATAGCCCCATATCAAGACCACTTCATCCAGGTCACCCATTTGAGGAACCGGTTCCAGCCAGCAGCAAGGAAAGCTTCAGTAATCCGTGGGAGAAGGGGAAGAATCAGTCCTCAAACTGAGAGACGTCGTTTACGTGAGAGAGGGCTACGTGCACGTTGACCTCATGTTGGTCCAATTCTGACACGTAGACATCGTCAGGCACGTCTCGCTTGGTGTAGACATCATCGCAGATGGACACACAGAGAGTGGACAGGAGTCCTGTTCACGGACGAATCCAGATGGACTTCTTGCGACAGAACAACATCAATGCCATGCAATGGCCATCGCTGTCTCCTGATTTGGCACCCATCGAGCATGTCTGGGATGAGATGGGGAGGAGACTTGCCAATATGGCGCCACCTCTCAACTTGCAGCAGCTGGAAGCGTCTCTCTGCAGGATATGGCTACAGATCCCTCGGGATCTCTTCAGGAGGGTCATCTCTTCTCACAGGAGGAGGTGTGTGGCTGTTATTGATGCTGATGGTGGACACAGGCGATACTGACGTTGTCTTCCTTCTTGTTGTTTACCTGTGTGAACTTTTGATTTGACCCCGTCTCTGTTTAACCCTCGTTGCCTTGGTCAATAAATGTAGTGCAACTTCATACCGCATTTGATTCTCTTCTTCAATGGTCACTTATCACATCGTTCTCTAAAAATATATTGGATGCCAAAACGCACCATATGCTAATCTATCAGTGATGCGCTTCTAATGGCTTTCAGTATATATAGCAAATGACACTAGGATAAGACTATCTGTATATGCATGTCTTACAAACCTTTTACACTTCTCACATACATTTCATATATCAAAAAATTACAGGACTACAACTGCAGATCAATTTAAGACAACAGTTTAAGGACAATGAATGATTCATAGAAAGAGGTTATTTTCTGAAAATCTTTTTTCCATTCCATTTGGTCAAAAAAATCCTATCAATATATATAT